TAACTGTGCCAAAAAGAAAATACTTCAGCACCCAACAAGAAAGTAAAGCAAAGCAGGATGATTCCAGATTAACAGAAAGAGGACGACCTTCATGTACTTTCTGTGCTGGTTTCGGTGGAGGCCTGAGCTTTGTTGAAGTTTGTGAAGAATTTGAAGGCTTTGTCCCCTTAGAACTGAATGAATTCGCAAACTCTTCCAGTGGATCCACAAACACACCCGAAGAAGAATGCCCCGAAGCTGAACTCGATTCAAGAACAACAAAAGGGTCGTCTACAGAAGAAGTTGATTTAGCAGTCCTGATGGAAAAAAATCAGTAAAAAGCAAAACATATCAACCGCCAAGGGAAATCCCACGACAATATCTTCAAAGCCTATGCTTTTTCGAAAGGTTATCTCACAATCTCATACACCATTTCCCAATATATTACAAAATATAATCAAGTTCAACAAAAAACAAAGATTTGCACCAATAATCGACAAAAAAGGCGAATCACACAATGTATAACAAATTAATAGCATACCCACTACTTGATTGAGCATTTCCACCGAAACCAGGGATCAATTCATCAAAATCGGCTGCATTCTTCCCCACGTCACTTGAACTGTTCTGGTTCCAGCTCTTTGATTTGGTACCAAATTGGCTAAAATCACCCAACAAATCATCGACAGAGCCATTTTGCTTCGCCGACGAAGAGAATGATCCAAATACATCATCACTATCAACGGTAGGGGAGCTCTTGGACCTCGTCATACCCCCAAATATATCATCTACATCATAACTATCCATTGAAGAGGTGGTTTTCGTTCCCAAATTCCCCAGATTGGAGAACATCAAGTCATCACCACCGAAAGAAGACTCACTATTACCCGATTTATTGGATGACAACTGGTTCAAACCACCAAAATACCCTAAATCGTCAAACCCACCAGAATCTATGCCTTTCCTATCAATGGAACTCGATTTAAAGAAAATGTCGTCGCCGTCAAACAACGACCTATCACCAGATCCCGTGTTCCAAGATCTATCAGAAGCGTACGAGGTAGGTTTAGCATCTACACCCGCGCTTGAACCAAAATGCCAGCTCTGAGCATTGTTAGGATTCACCGATCGCTTCGACGAAGACATCGGTGCGGATTTTCCCTGAGGCTTTAGCCCATAACGCTCCGTAAGAACACCGAACTCGTCCATCTCAGCTGCCGATCGATCAAACAAACAAACGAATCCCTAAAGAATCCACCTACCGTGAAAAAAAAGCCCCCTATCAGATCGATCCGGGGAAAACCCAAGATCCAAAGTGAAATACCACGAGAAAGGGGATCGAAGTTCTTCTCCTGGTATTGGCGTTAATTGCGAGAGAGAGAGAGAGAGAGAGAGAAGAGACAAAGATCGTAATGGCAAAATTTTCCCGAGAATTTAGAGTGGGGAAAATTTCCGTCTCAATTCCTCAAAAATTTTCCGATAAGATATATTCTCAATTCCTCAAAAATTTTCCGATATATTTATGTATTTATTTATTTAAAAGAGAGACTTCGACGGTGAGGACACGACGACTTCAAGGTTTTGGACCCACACACAGTCATGGTGTGTAGGCCACGACAGATGTCTTGCCTTTAAATCTCCTTTTTGGTCTTTTTTTATTTATATAAATCGATCTTCGTTATTCTTTTTAAATTAATTTGTTACACGAAGAAGATGTTCAATGACTAACAAATCAATCACAAAAATTATAATTATAACCCTATATATATCATTTGTAGTTTTATTTTCAAATTTGTCAACTTGAAAATAATTCCCAATTATTCGATTCCATTCATGAAATCTATCCAATGTTTGATTAGCTTTTCGTTTATTGGGTGGGCTTTATAAATGGGCCTGGGCCCATTTGTCTCACACTTTACAAAACGCTGCGTTTCGTTGTCCCTCTCTCCATCTCCATCTCCGTCGTTCGTCGCTGGTAGTCCCATTGCTGAGAACGTACATCCGTAATCAATTCAGGTAATATCCATAGCTTTTTTCCTTTGTAATGCTCATTGTGGCGTACATGAACGTATATATACGTGTATATTTGGTCGTAGTGATTATTGTTATGTGACACTGTGTAATGTTCAGAATATGTTCGATGATATGCCTCAATGAAGGATTTCTTCGAGACGATTGAATGTTGAACTTTTTTTTTCTGGGTTTACCTTTATCCTTATTTTTGTGAAAGAGAGACACTTTCAGATGCTGGCTATGGTGTACTTCTCGTTAAAGTTGTTAGCTTGGTGATTGATGTTCTGGGCGTTAGCTTGGTGATTGACGTACTGGGTCATTTTCTACCAGTTTTCTAATTTTCATTTCAATGTTTTTGGTGTTTGGGTTTTAGCTCTGTTGTTGCATTCATTGATTGGTTCTAGATGATGATCAGAATTCTCAGCCATCAATCCAGATCATGTTGTAAAAATGTTCTGTCAGTGAAGCTGTATACTTCAGGTGAACCAAAGAGAGATGTTTCGGATATGGCAAAGAGCATATGTAAAGTGATGATGTCGTCTCCACCAGCTGTTCTTGACACGGCTTTGGATCAAATCGGTCTTAGGGTTTCGCCTGAAGTAGTCGAGACTGTTCTGCAGAGATTCAGGAATGCTGGTTTGTTGGCATACAGATTCTTCCAGTGGGCCGAGAAGCAACGGAGTTACGAGCATAGTGTTAGGTCCTACCACATGATGATCGAGTCTACTGCCAAGATTAGGCAGTATAAGATCATGTGGGACCTCGTGAACTCCATGAGAAAAAAGACGATGCTAAATGTCGAGACTTTTTGTATCATCATGAGGAAGTATGCCAGAGCACAGAAATTGGACGAGGCGATTTACGCGTTCAATGTAATGGAGAAGTATGATGTGCCTCCGAATCTTGTGGCATTCAATGGGTTACTGAGTGCTTTGTGTAAATCCAAGAACGTGAGGAAAGCTCAGGAGATATTCGACAACATGAGGGATAGGTTTACTCCAGACTCCAAAACTTATAGCATATTGATTGAAGGATGGGGGAAAGCTCCGAATCTGCCAAAGGCAAGGGAGGTTTTCCGAGAGATGATTGATACGGGTTGTGACCCGGATGTAGTGACGTATAGTATAATGGTTGATGTTCTTTGCAAGGCTGGTAGAGTTGATGAAGCCCTTGGCATTGTAAGAGGAATGAATCAAAGCAAATGTGAGCCAAACTCCTTTATATATAGTGTTCTTGTGCATACTTATGGAACTGAGAACCGGCTTGAAGATGCTGTTGATACGTTTCTCGAAATGGAAAGAAGTGGAATCAAAGCTGATGTACCGATGTATAATGCCTTGATTGGTGCCTTTTGCAAAGCTAACAGGATGAAGAATGTTTACAGGGTTATGAACGAGATGGAAAGAAAAGGTGTGTCACCAAATTCCAAGACTTGTAACATCATTCTAAGCCATCTAATGGGTATCGGGGATACAGAAGAAGTAAAAGGCGTTTTCCAAAAGATGATCAAACTGTGTGAGCCTGATTCAGACACTTACACGATGATGATAAAGATGTTCTGCGAGCAGAAGGAGATGGGGTTGGCGAGTAAGGTGTGGAAGTACATGAGAACGAAAGGCGTTTTCCCGAGTATGCACACTTTCTCTGTTCTTATAAACGGGTTTTGTGAAGAGGGTAACACTAGGAAAGCTTGTGTTTTGTTGGAAGAGATGATCCAAATGGGGATAAGGCCTTCGGGTGGGACGTTCGGAAGAATAAGGCAACTGCTCATCAAAGAAGGTAGAGAAGATGTGCTCAATTTTCTTAATGAAAAGATGAACCTACTGCTCAAGGAACCTCTCTGTGATTGAAAAACCTTTTGTGTTAATAGCAAAAAATAGGACAGCTTTTAAATGTCTCTCCTTGCCTCTTTGGCCATGTTTGTGTAATGTGAAGTGTTCCATTCCATTCTTAAAATCCTCAGTCTGTACAACTTTTACAAAATCATCTTTCAGTTTTTTATAACAAATTTTCATATCAATCATACAAGTTCTCTTTTCAGAATTTGCTATTGATCTGTCCTGTCCGAAGAGTCAGGAGTTAATGTAAGTTAGATAATTCATAAGAGGCAGAGTTGTTTTCTCTGAAAGCACATAAATAGAGAAGCAAAGACGCATACTTCATGTGCATGCAACATAATACTATGTAAGTGTGTGCAAATGCAATGCAGGTTTCTATAATGTTCTGGTCTCAGAAACAGAGTTTCTTCTTTCAATGGAGACCAGATGCAACTGAAAAAGCTAAATGAATCAAAACCCAAGAAGACACTCGGAACAAAAGTTTCAACTGTAGGGTTTTTTATCAGTTGGTGTAAAGTATCGTACAGTATACATTCTTTGATCATCAGATATACTGACACTACTGTATATTCCTTTTTCTTTTTTTGTGAGTTTTTCAATCTGTACAGTGAGAGGGAAAGATTACGCAGATACCTGTTTGTGTCCGTTACTCAGAGGGCCTTCTGATCAAGCCGCTCGTTCCAGTTTAAGCAACGGATTAAGCTTCTAAACCAATCACCAGTCTGATCAGACTTGTTGACAGTTGGGAGTGGATGCTCACTCATGTATATTCTCACCGAGTCTCCCCTAGAGAGCTGTTGCCTTCTCTTTCCATCAAATGAAACCCAAGCATTGCTTCGAGCATCCTCAGGAATCTGTTTTTTGTTTATGTTTTGGTGAGAAACAGAACGTGAGCGGTAAAATGTCAATCCCTAAAGAATTCAGATGGACCCAGAAGACAAGGCATAAGAAATCATGTTTGCTAAGACCACAGTCAATCTCATGATTCCTGTTTTCAACTCATGAACTAGGAGAATTCAAGCAAACCCAGATGAAATAATACTCTGATTCTATTTATCTCTTTTGTGGTTTCCACTCATGAACTAGAAGAGGTTCCGAGTTAACAGGTCATTGAGTTTCACAGTTATCCATGTGTGCTAGAGCTTTATAGTTATATCATTATATGCAGATTAAACAAGTATTTCAAGTTGAAGCTGATTTACGGTTTTACCTTTAATTCAAGTCTTGCAGAATCCGGAAGTATAACGGGTCTGAAAGAAAGGGAGTGCGGGCAGATCGGAGTGAACAACATGCAAGGAACGTTCGGATGCACCTGCAATTTCAGATCGTGTTGAGTGTTACATATCTCAAATAGAAAACTGTTATTACAACACAAATTCTACAATAAGCAGCAATATAGTTCTGCAATATGCCATAGATATCTCAGATGGAGATTACTTCTCCTTTGAAACAGAGTTGGAAGCAATTCTCAATGGAAACCTCACCATGGAACCTCCTGCGGCTGTAGAGTATGCAGTACTTCCCGTAGGTGTGGCAACTATGACTCCATCACCTTGCACCTAAACCAGTATTTGGACGCATCAGCTACATATCAGTGATTCATGTTGGGAAATTGTTCCGTTAAACAAGATATTCAACCACATAGAGTATATCACTTGTATGAAATAAATTCACCCGATACAAACCTTGGTGATGAGACGGTCATGCTCATAGCACTCGATCTTTGAAAGGTATGGGTTTGATCCTCGATCAACAACGATCTCATTCAGGACATCAAACACTTTACCAGGCATTGCTTTGCCATTACGATAGATTTCACAACGAAGACGCAACCTAAGAGTTATATAAACTCCATCCAACATGTTATTTCCATGGATGACCCTTCTGAGATCTTGCCTGAAGTTCTCAAACTAAATTGAAAAAGGAAGTGAGAAGGCTATAAATAAGTTTTGAGGAGAGAAAAAAAAAAGCTCGAGCCTTCTTACAGTATGGGAAGTGAGAAATCCAAGAGAGCCTAGATTGAATGAAACTACAGGAGGAACAGCCCCCTTAAACAAATTTGACGCATGCAGTATCACCCCATCTCCTCCTAAGCATGCAACAAAATCAACCCTTTCATGGAGATCACTGCAATCAGAAAATTAAAAAAAAAAAATGATTATAATTGAGCCAAAGGTGATTATTCTAGCAGATGTTTCTAGGAATACTTCTCATACCTTGTGTCTTGAATGTAAAAGGTCTGGACAAATCCAAATCCTGGAATCCTAGCAAATACGTCATGCACCTCAGGTTCAACCAGTACATTCATTTTCTCTTGGTAATACAAGAAAGATGCAGCCTGAAACCAGTTTTGAAACAAGAAACAACTTTTTTCATGGGCTTCAAGAAGAATTCCAGGCATCTTAAATGCAAAACACAGAGACAAAATCTTTGTAATTTGAAAAACAATATAATTCGAGGGTCACCTCTTTAGCTTCCTCCATGAGTTCTTGCCCAAGCTTCTTCAGCAGTAAAACAGTTTTTGGTGTAGATTTCCATAGAAGCATCTGCTGTTGAGTACTTGGGTGAGTGAAGGCTAGGGATGATTCTGTCACCTTTTCCCTTGTACAAGAAAACCCATCGGTTCGAACTAAGAACATCTCTGCCTTTTTTCTAGATTGCACCCTCACTACACCAGTAGCAGAAGCACACATATTCCCCTCAATAGATCCAATTTCGTCATCACTGGAATCCAAAGGAGAAGCACCACTGCTTTTATGAGACTTTCTTACAGGTTTAGACACATTGGGAGATATAGCAGTAGGCTCACCAGAAAAACCATTCCCCCGGTCAACATATACACTTTTATTGGTGATACTAGAAGCACGAACATCTCCATTTGAAAATGTTCCATTGCCAAAATCTGAACTCTGTGATCCCAAGGATAGAAGGGACCCATTGGAGTTTCCCGTCTCTGAGAAATCCTTCAGAGCATCTTTATCAATCATCTGATTTCCCTCCGTCGTCCTAACATATGAAAATTGCGAAGATGATACTGTTCCCAGTGTTTTGTATTGATTATTAAGATAAGCAGCAGGTGCAATGCCTTTGTTCTTCAAGAACGCAGACATTTCCTTCCTTGAGAAAACATTGAGTGGTGGAACTTGAGATTTAAGAGGATCAGCCACCATACTAAATTCTGATACAGATGTCTGTCCTTCGTTGCTTCTCTCTTTTGATTCATTGCTTTCCTTCGAAACAGAACTACTATCAAATTCAGTGATACCAGAGACATCATCAGCAAGTTTTTGAGGAACATGCGTGCGATATACTGCTTTCGACCCAGGCTTAGTTTCAGAAACCTCCCGTCGCTTTGTCTCTTCCAAAACCGGAGTTTCCTTGTTCATCGAACGTGTCATGTATTGTTTCCACCTGGATACCATAGCAGAAGTTCTCCAAACCCCTTCCTTACTGTGAAGGTATATCGGCCTTTTGCTGCAATCTGATACTAGAGAAGCAAACTGCTCGACCTGCTGAGCTGAAGGTGCCATCCTTACCTCCACCGGGATTTTCACCAATTCAATCTTCCCCCGGGAAATAGCATCTTCGAGGGTTGCCTCATAGAATGTATCCTTCACATCTTCAGCTCTCAAGTCTACTATTGTTTTATACCCTTTTTCTACTAACCACTTCAGTCCCTCTTTTGTTACCTGTCCACCCCTCCAAAAAGCAACCTCAGTTTCCTGGTAACCAAAATCCTCTTTCGTATTTGAAAAGTAGACAGGGTCCCAATTCGCGAAAATTGTATGGCTAGGATAGTTATCCCGACGTGGAAAACCAGCATCATAGCAGACATTCTTCAGCCATTGTAATTTCCTCCAAACAGTTCCACTTCTTTCGTCATCAGGCATCAAATAATTCTCGAGAGCAATGTGTAAGCTCTCGCAACATCGTTTCATTTCACCCCTGAAAACAGCAAGGGGTGGAAGCAGTTCCTCCGTGACACTTACATCAGCCACACTGAATGAATCCATAAAAGACGACCTTCCAGAGATAATTTCCTTCCGTCCTTTATTCAGAAGCGATAATAAACATCCAAGCACTGACACGATTTTGTCCTCCAATAACGGTTTTTCCTCGGGAGAAAACTCATATGGAACTCTACATTCACCTGTCAAAGGATTGCAAAGTGTCTCCATCAATGCTCCATGTAGCCTTTCAGCTGCTCTAAATATTCTACAGTAAGCCTCAACTTCAGCAATGTCGCCTGGAACTGGACCGATCCAAGGCAAGTTTGATGTATCGTGGGATTTCACAGCCTTCACGATCCAAGTAAATGGGGTCAGTCAAGTCAAACTGGTTTAGAACAAACTTACTCTAGAGTACAAATTAGTTCCCTGTCATTTTGTAAGGGAACACATGTTACATAGTAGATGCCAACATGAGCTTCTAACTTTCATCACATAAAACCAGAAAGAGATCACAGAAACTATTACCCTGTTTGGGATATTTATTTATGTAATAACATAATGTTTCTGGTAATTGCCTGATAAAGTTCTGTCCATCCTTAAACAAGGTTGTAAATACGACCAGGACTTTGAACTAACAATTATCTGAAACATCATTATTAAATAAAAACAAAATTAATTATGCGAAGCATGTAAAATGAAGCAACTTCCATAAGCAAGTGGTTTGCTCAAGTAATCGAATTTTAAGAATAATGTAAGGATCTTCAACATTTAGAGCCAAGCTCTGCAGAAGAAGATCAATATCGTCTCTTCCCGAAAAAAAAAAATTTGATTTTTCAAAGAAAACAAGAAACTAAGACCAGCAAGCAAAAGGAAGCATTGCAAACACGAACCTCTTCGCTAACAAGTCACTCTCTTCCTCTCTCAGTTCTCTGCCAGGCATTTCATCGAACATGATGGAAGCAAAGACAGACATCGACGAACACTTCAAACAAAGGAAAAACGAGAGATGCAGGAAAAAGCAAGTCACCTGAGAATCCAAACCCAGATCAGGAGAAAACGACTTCGACAGCTCCGCCCTGCT